ACCAGTCATTTCTCTAATTCCTTCTTGCCTTTACATACTACATACCCCACAAACGGCAGGTCGAACCGCCTGTGGAAGGTCTGTACTTTAAATCAAAGCAGTTCTCTGCAATTGTTATATATCCTTACTTCTTCTTACCGTTTTACCCTTTTCTTCCTTGCTTAGCAATACCACCTACATGGTTGGTCTAGAATTTCTAGCAATTCTTCTTATGGTTTTATATATTGTTTACGGACTCTTTATTATTTATAATGCTCGCGCTTTTATTTAATTTTATTTATTTAATAGTTTTCTGTGTAGAAATCTGCACTTTTATACTAGGATATATTTTCAACGTTGCTAGAACCACGAGTACATCTCACATCCATTATTATATATATATATATATATATATATAAGTAAATGCGCATTTGGTAATAATAAGTGTTGCATCTATTGGCTCTTACGAGAGACTTAAGGAAAGAATTCTATTGTTAAGAAAAGAATTACCTTGTGATTTATTAAAAATATTTTTCTATCATGAAGGATTTATTTAGTGATCATGGAATAGGCTTGTATATATTAGCTTAGACGCACTGCTCAAGTTCGATAGTCCCCTATATACTATCAAATGCTTCCGGCTTTGGCCGTATCTTGTACATTCAGTCCATGGCTACTTGAAGATTTCGTGTTTCATCAATTTAAATGATGCTTTGCGTTATTAAAAGGGCCGTGTTTTCCTAAATTAGGGTTTATAGAAGAATATAGTCCCGGGTCTTGTTTGTTTCGCGAATAATTTCTTGTCAAAAACGTTTTCCTCATATTCCGGCGTTCGGATCGCTTAGGAAAATGCTGGTAAATGAACCAATGGAAAAAAAAATTCATAGTCAAGGGAAAATTTATACTTAAATTCAGGAAAATAAATTTTTCATTTTAAATTATAAAACCTAGGGTTGTACTCAAGACTTTTTCTCAAATGTGTGTTTCATAATTTCTTTGTAACACATATCAGAAAATGACTTTCTTATTATTTACGAAATGGAGCCAAACTTAGGAAAATGAAATAAGTTCCTTTGAATATATGTCTCATCAACAAAAGGTGTCTGATGAAAAAAAACGCGGAGCTCATAAACAACGGTGCAATATCTCAGCTTAAGTGTACCGAATTCTAAAAACACTAATACATGAGGATGCAAAAGATCGATATGTTAGATTGATTTACGAAATCGGATAAATCTTGTCAAGACCCGGGTTCACCAGACCAAATCCATCCGAGCCGTCGATCATGTGTGGGTCCACACACGTAACCCACGCGACATGGTCCAGCGGAACCAAATCCGAGCATCTTTTCTCGCGAAACAATTAGGTAAACCGTGAAATAAACATCTAAACGAGCGAGTCGTGTTCAACCAATCGAGAAAAATACATAACATGTATCACCAAGTCGACTTACGACTTCGTCATCTTTATTTGTTCATATCAACATCAGTGAGTCGAAATGTTGGAAATCTCAGGACGTGAGATATGGAGGTTTTTGACAGAGAGATTTCCCGTTGGACTTGTAAGGCCGTGAAAAACACGTTAGGGTTACGTAAACCTCCCTCTCTCTCTACATATCTCTCCAGCTAAGGGAAGCTCGAGCCGCCCAGCGAAGGAGAAGGGATCCATTACGGTTCACTCCTCCAGCTCAAATGACCTGCGACAGCGAAGCACCACGCAAAGACAACAGAGAAATAATAAAAAGAGGATGAAAATGGGAGATGCATGGGGCTATGCCTTGCGATGCAAGCGAAGATCCACATGACTCCCACCACGCTTTACCCCTTCAAAAAAAGATTATTGCAACCCTAATATATATATATATATATATATATATATATATATATATATATATGTACGTATATATGTATGTATGTATTATCACCTTGGTTAAGATTGGGATGGACTTATTTATGACGTCATCGCTCTTAGATTTTTTTTCCCGCGTTCAACTCTTGTCCACAATTTTGGACGTGCTCCCATCGAATGTGCATATTTTATATATATGCGAACCGGCGCAAGAAGGGAGATTTATTTCAGACTTTTCTAGGGGGGGTCGTTTTCGATTGCAAGTGCGGGGATGGATGAAGAAGGACCGGAGTTAATTGACAAAGAAGTATAGCCACTTGCGCCAACGGCAATGTCCACCTCTCTTCTTTATTCTTGATGACGATAGAAATGCCCCCAATCACTCATGAATAGTGCTGGAATATGACCCGTTTTTAAGGGAAAATACCACAGAAAACCCCAAACCACACTGAATGTGGCAGAAATACCCCAGCTCTTTTTGCGTCATGGAAAACCCTTAACTTGTTTATTGTGACACGGATACCCCTGACTTTTTTTTTTGTATCACGAAGAAACCCAAACTTATACGTGTGCGATATGTATACCCTTTATTTTAGTTCCATCTATGGTATATTTGTCACACTAGTCTATGTTCAGGATTTTTTTATGACCCAATTTTTTAGGATATATATGTCACAATGGACAAATTTAGGGTTTTTAGTGACACAAAAAATAGGTTTGGGGGTATTTGTATCACAATGGCATAATTTAGGATTTTTTGTGGTATTAACCATTTTTTAATAATTTTGTAGAATTTGTTACTGAATTAGAAAAGTGATTCTGAAATTTGGGTTTTTGCATATACTAGCTCTCTCTTACGTATTAATCATCATAGATCATTATGCTACAAGGGGGTTAATGGCCATTAAAATTTTTCAATAATGATCATGACACGAAGCCATCTAATATTTTAATACCATATGTCATGGTAGGTCACAACCTAACTGAAATCGGCCATTATTCACGTCGATTCATAAATGGGCATGGCCATATAAAATTGACCCACCATCTAACTAGTTTAATTCTATAAGTGGATCCCACTTTAGAATAAAAAAAAATGAAAGAAAGAAAAAATCTTTTTGTAAGATCAGCTGCTCATGCCCTTTTGTCTATTTTCTTCACAAGATTATTAAAAATATATATATTTATACTTGTCAAAGCTGTATGGGTCATGATCGGTGTAGGACCCCTGTGCCAACAAGTAGAATATCTCATCAATTATTAATGATAATTATTAATACAATATATACAATAAATTATATATTGCATTAATAAATTAAATATTGTATTAATAAATTATTGTTGCCAGTTGAACTTGGAGTTACCAGCTATAAATTATTGTGAGATTGCAGAAGCAAAGTCGGATCGCAATCAGCCGATTTGATCCGGCGTGTATTAGTTCTTTAATTAGCTTCAATGATTAAGTGCGTAATTAGATCCATGTTAGGGCTAGCAGCACAGTCAATTCTTGTGCCACGTGTATCCGCCAGCTCTTGATTTTTGTTGAAAAAGACCCTGTTTATTGAAGTAAAAGATTAGGTTAGACTTTCAAATGATGTGACCCATTGTGTTTCATTTTGTGGCCAATCAATCGGATGAGATCCATCACGGATCATGCAGGCAAGATTTATACTCCATAGAGTCCTGTTGACGATTCATTTAAAAAAAAAAAAAAGAAAGTGAATTTTTAATCGACTTTATATTCGGTACAAAATTTGCGAGAGAAATTATTTAAACATGTCGCTCGCAATACTGTTTTGAATTTAACGCAATGCATGTGACACATTTCAAATAACTTGTGTAACTATTTTTATGTGAGTTGTGTAACGAATATAAATTCATTTAAATTTTAAAAAGATTCAGAAAGTCTTTTGTCATTAATTAATCGAAATTAATTTTTTCTTGTCTACATAATAGTATACTTTAAAGGTGGTAATTGCAGCTCAAAGAATTTGCCTTGCTACTTCACTGACAAAGATGTATATCATAAGAAAAACACATATCGTTTTTCAAATTATTTGCATTTAATAATATGATCTCAAAGGAAGACCAATTCTCGCGTTCAATTTTTCCAATATGCACCTATATAAGGATGTCAATGCATATATCTTCATAGGAAAAAAGTCACAAAAAATCTCAAACAATGCTTATTATGACACATTTACGCCGAATTTTTTTGTAACATCATAAATCCAAACTATATCTACCATGACACATTTACCCTCAATATTTTCTTGTAACATAAAAAACCCTAAACTCGTACCTATAAAACACATTTACCCTATATCAAGGTTCCGTTAAATTATTTAACAGCTAAAATAACGTTGTTTTTTACACTTTACTCTGGCGTATATGTAGGTAGATTTTTAACTGTTCTCATTTACGGAAGCTTAACGAAGAGTAAACGTGTCACATAGGTACAAGTTTAAGATTTTTGGTATCACGAGAAAAAGTTCATGGTAAATGTATCATTGTAAGCATACATTAAAATTTTTGGTGGCTTTTGCCTCGTGTATATATATATATATATATACACATACATTATTAAGGAATACTCCTCCTAAGATTTGAATTTTCAGAGCAATGGACGGTATCGGATCGAGGGGGATAATTATGGAACATAAAAAAGAAGACAAAGAAAGTGGAGAGAGAATAGAAGAGGGAATAGGGGTGGGGTGTGGCCTACATGGGCCGGCTTTTAACTCAATTTAGCTGGACAGACAAAAACCAACTTATGGTCACTATTGTCTTCACATGCAGCTGTTGACATAATGAACAAAAACAAAACAAAATAAAATCACTTAAATTTATATATTTTTATCTCAATCTCAGCAAACCCTCCTATTTTAAAATTCATTTTAATTTATGCAGCCTCCTGTGCCGCTTTTATTAGTTTACTGGAGGGTCCAAGAATCGGCTCCCTACCACTATAATTTCTTCCTTTTTTTTCTCTTTTTTTTATTTTATTTTGGAAGAACCGACTATACCCCCCAAAAAAAAAATTTATTTTGAAATCTGCAAGATTCCACAGCTAAAAGGAAAAGAGAAAAAGCGTACACCCAGATGTTTATTTTTTCTGTAAATCTTAAGAAAAGCCGAAACGAAAATAGCTTTAGCTTAGCTTCTTGAGATTGACAAGCAGATCCTCCCCACCCAAAAATATAAAAAGTTACTGTATTCACCACAAACTGATCATCCTCCTCTCCTCTCTCACACGGAAACCCTTGTTGGGATTATTGACCATTCTTATCTATTTTCTCTCTTTTGGTAGATTCGTTTTTTGTTCTGTTTTGCCCCCCCACCCCACCATTTCGTTTTCGCTCAGCTGCAAGAGGGAGGGAGAGAGAATCCTATGCTGGGGGACGCACCGAGCGCGCCGGGAGCGTCCGGCGACGTGGCGGCAGCTGCGGCTGCAGTTACTGCGGCGGGTGAGGTTGGCGGGTTCGCACCAAATTCGGGCGAGGAAGAGGGAGGAAGGAGGAGGGAGGAGAGCGGCGGGAATAGGTGGCCGAGGCAGGAGACGCTGGCTCTCTTGAGTATAAGGTCGGACATGGACGTGACCTTTCGGGACTCGAGTGCAAAGGGTCCGCTCTGGGAAGAGATCTCCAGGTAATTCAATTCTCGAGTCCTATCTTCTCAGCTCTATTCATTTTGATCTGAAATGTAAACTCGAGCGCTTTTGTGAAGTCGTTGGTGCAGTAGATCTGCGTTCTTCTGAATTCTCTTGCCACTTCCGAATGTTTCAAGAATTTCTCTAGGGTCTAGGATGATAATTTTGCTTATTAAGTGGACGGTTGTTTTGTCCTCTTCTTCTTCTTCGGGTTGCTCATATGTTGTGGATTTAATGAAGATAAAATTTTCAGTGAGGGGAGTGAGTTCAGATCGAGGAAACTCATTTGTTTGTGCTGTCTTGTCTTTATTTTCTGCTGAAGTAAACAAGAGAAATCTTTGTTAAGCTGCTCTTAGTTCAGATGAGTTCCTTTCAACTCTCTCTCTCTCTCTCTCTCTCTCTCTCTCTCTCTCTCTCTCTCTCTCTCTCTCTCTCTCTCTCTCTCGTTGTTTTTTGTGTTTGACAATACGATGCTTATGTTCGCTTTGCTTATTCCAAATTAAAATCCAGATTATCGTTTGATAATTGTATGTCTCTCGTGTGGGTGTGAGATCAAGGAAGAAATCTTTTAGGCTTTCTATGTTTTTGTGTGCGGATGTGAGCGTGTGATTGTCTCTTCGGCAACTGTTTGTGTTCACAGGAAGCTGAGCGAGCTTGGGTATCATCGAAGTGCCAAGAAATGCAAGGAGAAATTCGAGAACGTGTACAAGTACCACAAGCGCACCAAGGACGGTCGGACCGGAAAGCACGAGGGCAAGACCTACCGCTTCTTTGATCAATTGGAGGCCTTCGAGAACCACACCCTCCACTCACCGCAACCACCAAAGCCTCCGGCAACAGCAGTGCAGCCGCCAGCAATGCAGGCGGCAATCGGGCCTCAGAGCATCCCTCACGTGCCCGCAGCCGCCGTTCCATCATCCACAACCCACATGAACAACAACCACCACAACAACAACATTAATATTATCCCACATGGTAACTTGGCCGCTTCCTCCACCGTCCTCAACTTCACGATGCCTTCCTTGCCGCCACCCTCAAACCCTACCGTCATCGTTCCTCCTCCTCCGCCGAACTCCAGTTTCCCGGGGGCCGCCCTGCCCGGAGAGCCCGCCTCCAATTCGACCTCGGCGTCGACATTCTCGGATGAGGGGCTGCCACGAGGAGGAGGTCCAAACAAGCGGAAGAGAAGGTGGAGGGACTTCTTCGAGAGGGTGATGAAGGATGTGATGGACAAGCAAGAGGAGCTGCACCGCAACTTCCTGGACACGATCGAGAAGCGCGAGTGCGAAAGGGCTGCCCGGGAAGAGTCATGGTGGATGCAGGAGACGGCGAGGATCACCCGGGAGCGCGAGATCCTGGCCCAAGAGAGGTTGGCCACCGAAGCCAAGGATGCGGCGGTCATGTCGTTCTTGCAGAAGATAGCGGAACAGCAAAGCCGCAGGTCATCGCCGCCCCAGAATAATAATAACCCGCTGTCGCAACAGCTGGTGGCAGTGCCAATCCCAGCTGCACCAAAACCATCGGCGCCGGCCCTGCCATCTCAGATGAGGAGCATCGAAGTCCCAAAGGCCGACAACGGGGTGCATTTTGCGACCACCGGAGGTGGTGGGGCGAGCTCTTCTAGGTGGCCGAAGGTGGAGGTCGAGGCACTGATAAGGTTGAGAACAGATCTCGAGGCGAAGTACCAAGAGAACGGGCCGAAGGGGCCGCTGTGGGAGCATATATCGACGGCGATGAGGAGGCTCGGGTACGAGCGGAGCGCGAAGCGGTGCAAGGAGAAGTGGGAGAACATCAACAAGTACTTCAAGAAGGTGAAGGAATCCAACAAGAAGCGTCGCGAGGACTCCAAGACGTGCCCGTACTTCCAGCAGCTCGACGAGATATACAGAGAGAAGACCAGCAAGAGCGGCGACCACCACGGCTCTTCGACGTTGTTCACGTGCACTACTCAGTTCAGTCCGATGATAAGCGCGGCAGCTCCGCTGATGGTGACCCCAGAACAGCAGTGGCCGCCTCTGCAGCAGCAGCAGCAACAACAGCAAGAGATGGATGAGATGGAGGGGGACCACATTGGCGAAAACCATGAAGACGATGACGAGGACGACGAGGACGACCACAGCAATATGGATCGGGAGGAGGATGAAGACGGAGACGATGACGGTCGCGAGTTCGAGATCGTGGCGAGCAAGCCATCTTCAATGGGCGCAACCGAGTGAGACCTGGATCACTTGCCCGGTCCAGGCAAGGATTTACGGAGCGCACGCCACATCGTCTTCGCTGCTTATGCGGGTCGGGTCAGGTCAGGTCGGGTCGCAAGACTCCGTCGGATCGATAAAATGGGTCGGATCCCGTCCGGTATGAGCTAGATGGATTCATGCGGAAGTAGAGAGAAATGGGGCTTGTAGCATATAAAGGTGAGCGTACTTTATGTTTATTTCTGATTTATTACAATTTTTTTTGGGGGGGTTGAGAAATAAATATTTCACATTGGCGATAGAGATACATGTAGAACAGAATTAAGATTTTCATTTCTGGGTGTAAATGATGTGGTTAATAGAGAATTTGGGTCTGTGTTGCTTTTCTGGCATGAACAAGTTTTGACAGGGAGCTCTGGTGTTTGGTTTTGATTATCCTAATCAAGTTTGTTTCCTTATCAAAGCTTACTAATCGTGTGTTAAAATCATTAATCACTTATAGAAATATACTTACTCATATCGAACATTTACGATCATAGTCAAAAAGTTACTTTTCATCGTGAAATGACTCATCATACGTGGAGGTTTAATTACTTTTTGATATATATCAATCTATTATTTCGCGGTGATTGATAAAGTATCATATAGTACAAAAGTAAAGAAATGTAATTATTGACCTACATTGATTGGTAATTTATTTAGGTATATGGGAAAATCTAACATTGTTCTAGGTTTAAACATATCATGCCCAAGCAATTTAAGGCCTAACGCAGTTGGTGCCAGTGAGATGTAGAGCTTCAATATATTATCACCAAAACTCCATAATACTTTATAGTACCTATTCCGGGCCACCCTTATTCTACATTATGACAATCGACAAATACTAGAAATACATAATTTCGATTATAACTAGTTTGTCCACTACATATTTCTAGGATATATGTTCTTACATTAGTTGTTGACCATATGTATAGGCCATGTCCTCACTCGGCTAGATAATGTAGTTATCGAGTACTAAATTGTTTAATTTCCAATTGGAATCAAAGACGCGATCATCCCGGCAACGATAATCACGTCTTTGCTTCACCATCCTGGCTGTAGTCTCATCGGGTCTGGGTTGTCGTTCTTGCAAGTTGTATTTGCAGACGTTAAATATCCCTCATTTCGGGCTATTGTTCTATAAACTTGTACGTATATACGTGTATATATATGTTATTTCCTTTCACTTGCCTATACCCTACCATTATTTGTCCAACTTTGGTGAAGTTAAGGCAATGAAGGGGTGGTCCAACAAAAGAGGTTTGCCCCCACGAACCTGACCCGGTCACGGTCATAAACGTGGAGATGAACGGTAATGGACAACAATTGTACAAGTGTAGGGAAGGCTCCTCTTTGGCTGTTGCCATCAATGGCTATGGATCCCCAATCTCCTTTCTCCTTCTTTAGCTGAGATTTTCTTGTTATCATTATCCACTTCACTCTTTCTTTTTTCTTGAAAAAGAAAAAAGGAAATCATCGTTCACTTGGACAAAGAAATTAAAATCAAAGTGAAAAGGGGAAAACGACACAAATAGCCTTTGAATTTTGGCTCAATATATAATATGGTACATGAACTTTTAATTTTTTCAATACAACCTCTGAACTTTTTGTACATATTCAAATTAGTCCCTGGATTATATAAAAATATTCAGTGTTGTCCATGATCTTGAATTAATTGAATAACTATATTGAACATTTTTATATATTTCAGAAGCTACATTGAACATGTATCAAAAGTCCAAGGATCACATTAAATAAATTAAAAGTTAAGCAACCACATTAAATATTAAGCTAAAGTTCAAGGATAATATTGAACAAATTAAAAGTTCGGAAACTATATTACATATCGGGTCAAAATTTAAGGATCATTTATATCAATTTTTATAAGTGAAAAAGATAAATAAGCCAGGCCTTCTTACCACCATGCATTGCCGCGGGATAATGATGGAAAGAATCAGGCCCGTTTGAAGGAAAAGGTGATGCGACAACCTTTTGTACTTTCATTCATTCATTGAGCAGTTGAAACGCCACACTGCACTGACACTCAAACCTGCGTTTTCTTGGTGGAACCATGAAATGCATGATGTCGTTTCGGGTAAATATAAGCTTCGTTGAGGCCCACAAAAGAGAATAATGGTAAATATTTAGTGTAAGTCTAATTATGGTGTGTAACATGTGAAACAAAATCCAAATGTTGTTCATTTAAAAGTAGAAGTGGTGGTTATTGATTTCCCAAGCCATTCCTCAAGTCATTCATTATTGAATTGAAATCTCTCCATTTCATGAACATTGGAATTTTCTATTTCCCAAGATGCATGCGCTCTCGCAACAACGGTCATTTTCCACACACACGGTTTCCAATAAATGTTGGTAAATGTCAAAAAACCGTCGGCAAAAAAAAATATATGAACTCGTGACTTTTTTTCAGCTAACTTGCTGATAACTTACCAGCACTTTGATCATCTGCAAATTAGCAATACATAAACTACCTCATCAATTTTTATTTACATAACTTACGGATGCTTTGAATCTAATGACTTCTATATGAAATCACCACCGTAAGAAAAATCAAGCGTCAATTCTAACGGACTTGCTTGCATTTTTTTAAAAAAAGGATTAGGACTACATCGATTCAATTGGAAGCTTTAGATCTTGATTTTATTCCATATAATAGGTTTAGAATTTTCGCACTAATTTTCCCGATTTTTTTTTTACACTTACAAACTCTCTCAGCAATTTACTAGCATCCAAGGAAATTGTTTTCTTTTTTTTTTTTTTACTCGACATTAGATGTCCCTTCAAACATCATTTTATTTTGAATAGATTATTCTGTACAACAGTGACGCGCACAGCAGACCGAACATATACTTTCTTAGATTGTGACTGGCCTATAAGCATGCCAATACAACAATTTCACTGGGTCCCTAGTGTAATGTTTGGCATACTTGAAAGTAATTGCTCGAATTTCAGCAGCATCAGCATTTTGAACGTAATAGGCAAATGATGACCTCCAATCACAAGCACGGTCAACACAGTTTGACCTCGAAGATAGCTTCATTGAGGACATAGCAAGCCCATACCATTAAGTTTTGGGCCTTCATTGGGCCACAATAATCTTGTCCATGTTTACAATTAAGGGTTGTTCCTTTTTTTGGTCAGACCAATTAACGGTTGTTTATTTGTTGAATAATGTGAGTATTGGAGTAGGATTAAATTAAAAAAATATAATAATATGAAATTGAATGGTAAAGATAAGTTGGAATAGAGCTCTTTCTTCTACCATATGTTTGGAACCTACATTGGGGTGTGAGTGATATTTTGGATACTAACATATAGTCAAGTCTTCAACTGAAAAAAAAGGGTTTGATCTCTTAAATGTTGTTTTAGGTTTTTCTAAGATTTGATTTATTATATATAGAAAAAAATAAAGATATGAGGATTGAGGTGTGGGAAAAACATGATGCTCGTAAAGTTCAATCATATGCTAGGTGACCCCCGATCTCATAGGAAATTTCCATGTAGCTACTTATTTTGGCAGTAGAAATCCTCGCAAGATGCTGTTTTTGCAAGTTTTGACATAATGCCAACTTTGCGTGGGATTACATGTGATGTAACGGGTCTGAATTTATCTCATTTTAGGGTAAATTATGAAAAACCCACGATAGATTAAATTATATATAAACGATATGATTAATTACAATATCACCCCGCACGTCTATACAACATACCATTATCGACAAAAAAATGCACCACTTAAGATATATTAGACGTGCCCCATTCGAATATATATTTTAAGCTTATGAAAACTATGAAAGAATGTCGTAAGATTTATAAAGAGTAATGTCGCTCAAATGAACGTGGGTGATGACTATGCTTTTCATGATCCTAATAGTTTTCTTGATGTAGTAACGCATGCTTTGCATGCTGCTGCTTATATTAATTTTTGCATCATCATTCTAACACTGTGGTTTTGGCGCAAGTCTTAACGATTCAGATTAGTGACATTTCAACCCTTATATCTGCAGGTTGAGAGAAAAGAAGAAGAGGGGAGAAGAAAAGAATGGAGAGCTTGGGGCCTATGATTGAGTAGAGAATCGGAGCCAACCATCTATATTGACTATAAATAAAGTCTCTTGCTAAAGAGGCAAATTGCTTACATCAATTTTGAAAGGTCAATTTTAGCGATTTTGCCGTTTACGATGTCGCCATTGTGAACACATAAAATGTATACTCGCAGACATGTAATAGCAACTGAACATGTTCGCTTGTTTCGCAGAAAATTCATTGACGGAAAAGATTTTCTTCATTTTCTAGCGTTTCGATCGTTAAAGAAAACGCGTCAACGGAAAATGTTTTCATAAAAAATCCCACGCTTAAATTTAAAAAAGAAAAATAGAAAGATTTCTTTTAAAACCAGAAATCACTTTCCAAAATACGACTAACCCCGATGCTCGGGACTCTAGACCTGGCTCGTGGCCCCGTATCCTTCGAGGCTGGCCTAGGGACTCCCCGAGGTCGAGCCCGGGTCCCTAGTGCCCGTGACGGGTTTCTCTGAGGCTTGGCCTGGGTCCTCGGCGATCAAGGCAGGTCGCCTGAGGTTAGGACCAGAACTTAAAATCTGGGATTGAACTTAAGACTTTTCTCAAGCACGTGTTTAATAAATTTTCCAGTTTGTTGGAAAATGACTTCCATTTTATTTGCAAGGTACAGCCTAACATAATAAAAAACGAAAACCATTTTCCTTGAAAATAAGTTCTTTCGAAAACCATTTTCCAACTAAAGTATAATTTCAACGAACCAAACGGAAAAATATTTTCTAATAACACGAGCGCAAACAAAAGGCAAAAAAATCTAAATCGTGATTTCTTGTGTCGTTCATTTGTGATATCCGGCACCGGGAGATGCTTCGTCGTTCTACTTGTCTACCAGTTGTGCGCTGCCACAGAAAGAAAGTTTTACATATACGGTCACTTTCATCACAGGACACGAGCACAAAAGAGCGTTCAGCCTCATCACGAGCGGCGAGCCCGGTGGCCGCCGGAGCCTGCGGCGGTGGCTGGTTCGCAGGTGCCGGGGGAGGCAACCGGGGAGAGAGAGGCGACCCATCTATGTCCCCTCGCGTCGGAGCGGGCATGAGATTACGCAGCCGGCGAGCGGCAAGTAAAACGTCATGGATCAGAAAGGACGAACATGTCGATTAATTTTCAGCTTGGGTCATCGCTAATCCATATCTCAAACCTAAGCATCCACTTGATTTTGCTTGCGTGCTAATTATTGACCATCATTCATTAAATTTCATGAAAAATCTGGAGGGATGTACCTAACTCTGTAAATAAGTGAGTGACATTTACCCTTGATTTTATCAAGAACGACAATTGCAAAATTACACTAAAGTCGCCCAATTAATATAAATATAATAATTTAATTATCGTACGCATCATCCTGCTTGGGTCATGCCTTCCCTTTTTATTCCTATGTTGCGTGTTGATTTTGCATTCCAGTAAGGATAATCACCTGCTCTTGTTGTTCTGTCTGTTCTATAGTTTAAAAAAAAACAAGATTAATTAAATTTCTTGGTGGGCTTTGTGGGATTTTCTTAAATTTTCTGGGAGATTAAGGTAACGTCATATCCACCTGCCTGCATGTTTTTTTCGAATAGGAAAGAAATTTGGATATTTTCGAAGATAAATATCATGCACGTTAAACCCGTGTAGAAACTAGTACGAATACATAATCCTAAGTTAATCGCAATCATAAAAAAAAGATTGGATGAATATCTCACATTAGACTTTGGATCTCGATCGAGACGGAGGTGGGTTGTGAAATTAATGATCGGACGGTGACCGCTTTTAATGATTCGATCGATTTCCGCCCTAGTCCGAACTAATTTCGATGTCATTAGCTCGATGTTTATTTGTTTTGAATAAGATTCCGAGATCCATTTGCTTCTTCTTTTTTGGCAATGGACCTGAATAGTAGGTGATTTTTTTTGGTCGAAAAATCGTAGGTGATTATCAGGGCAGAAATATGTCAATTTATGCACGAGAAATGGAGGCTTGATCTATGACTAGGAATCAATCATTGACTTTGACTTTTGGATTATGCATTATTCATGAAAACGAGAGCAGACAAATTTTACAAGGAAAATCAATAAATGAAAATAGGAATAAAAAAAAGCAACATGTGTCGTAAAGATAATCCAATTCTAGGAATAAATATCCTGGTGACCTAACAATGTTCCATAAACAGAGGTTCAAAAAAAAAAAAACAATGTTCCATAAACAAAAGATGGTCTCCTTTTTTTTTTAAATTTTTTTGGGTGGGTAAAAATAAATTGTTTCCTTGTCTGAGGTTTTCTCCTGCTACTAATCCACTGGACATTTAAGGCGCGAATAATAACCATTCTCTTCTCGGATCTAATTTTTGGCCAGAAATAGATTTATATTCCGTGGACGAGTTTTGAGCAGAAAGTAACATTTGACAATGACACAATATTTTTGTTCCCGAAACAGAAATTCGTTTGACAACGTCGATATAGAATTCGTACATCAGCGGCGGTGATTAGGGGTGATCGGTTCCCGGTCCGGTCTAATGAAACCGGTCACTTTTTTTATTTTTTTCCCTTCACAATGAGAGAACTTGACGATAAGTGAAGATTCATTTGTGCAACGATAAGGGAAAACGTTCTACGGGATTTAGTTCACATTTTACTAATTTTTTTGAAGAAATAAAAAATAAAAAAAGTATATGTAGTCGGTCCGATCCAGTCCGGTTCCCCTTTGGAACGAGAACCGGACAGCCCGGACACCGGTTCCACTTTTAAGAATCGAAAACCGGACCGACACTCTCAGGAACAGGACCAAACCGGCCGATCCAATCCGGTTCGGGCGGTTCCCGGTCCGGGCGGTCCGTTTTGTACACCCCTAGCGATGGCGGCAGGACGGGCGGCGGGCGGCGATGGCGAGCTCCGAGAAGAATTGTTATTTTTATTTTTGTCCCAGAAATAGAAAAGTATAATATTTTGTTCTAAACCTTTTCTTGAGCTAGAAATTTTTTTCTGGAAATAAAAAAATGAAATTGCGTTGTCCAACGGATTTCTATTCCAAACATGTTTCTAAGAATAGAAAAATAGAAAAACAGAAAAACAAAATGATTATCATTTGAGTCTTTATTTATAATTTTACTCGAACATTATTTCGAGACATTCTTTCACTTTGAAATTACACTTTATATCTTTCTTTTGTTCTTGACGAAATTATAATTATACATTGGAAATAGTCGCACTTTTGGATTCTTATCCTTTTTTGGTACGTGAGTAACTTTCCGGAAAGATTATTATTTCCTTAATATATAAGATGAACGCGAATCATCCATCGCAAAATGCGTCATCGCAAGCGAGATGTGTCTCCATCTTTGTTGCACCATAAGTTTCGCTAGGCACGATCCTAGATTTGCTCACCCGCCGACCCGAGCACGACGCCACCACGGCCAACAACACAACCACCTCGGCACCGCTGCGAGTCTCCGTCCAAGCCGTTCGACTCTCTTTGTGTGTGTGAGAGAGACAGAGAGTCGAGCCGATCCGATGTGATGTGGGGTTGCCATTTCGCATGGTGGTCACGAGCCTCCACGCCCAGAGATCCGTCGACGCGAAATGTCGAGCTCAACGTCGGCTCAAGCTTGAGGAGAGAGAATTTAGTAGAGAAATTTAAAAAAAAAATATAAATATTTAATACAATCATTGAGAAATTTTGAAAAATTATAATGGTTAGATAGTTTTTCACTTTTTTTTTTCAAAATATTGAAAAGGAATCCTCAAGCTTGTACAACCAAAACCCCACGCATAAACAATTAGTAACTTCTTCTCGCTTAGCTAATAACTTTTCACTAGAAAAATGAACCAAAATGATGAATATATAATCCGCAATTACTTTCATGTAATCAATTATTCGGCAAAAACAATAATCAGTAAATGAATAATCGATAACCATTCTATTGTTAACTTCTCCACGTCATTCAGTAACTTATAATTCATTTGCAATTTTTTTTTATGTGATCAGTAACTTCCTATATTTAAAATTACATTTCCATATTTCGGAAATTTCATTTAAATTTTAGCGGCTACTGGAAAATATTAGAGTTTGAGCTCATCCTTCAAATTAATGAAATATCTACTGCATCGTAATCGATATATAAAATACGTTCCTTTTTAGGTTTAATATTACGAAAAACTCTAAACCGGTATACCTGAGATAAATTTACCAAAAACTAATTTTTTTACCACCAAAAACCTCCCCAAATTGGTACGCTTGTGGCAAATTTACCCTCCGATGGTTTTCGTTAAATTTTACTGTCAAATTGTTGAGTTAAATGACACGTGGCAGTTGACGGATGTATCGATTTTTAGGTTTTACTCTCCGTTCGTCACGGGTGTACTAATTTGTAGGTTTTTTTTTGTATTAATCCAATTTAACGTAGTGTAAATCTATCACAAGTGTACCGGTTCAGAGCTTTTAGTGGTAAAAAAAATTTGATTTGGGATAAATTTATCATATTTTTCGTGATATTAATCATTCTTTTTACACTATAACAAAAATTAAAAAAAGAGACTATAGTATTTCTCTTTCTCTCTCTCTATATATATTAAGAAAATGTTGGCTCCTCAAAATTCCTATTTAACGGAGATTAAAGAGTCACGTCAGTCGGCGACTGCCCGCTTGCGTCACACAGAAGAGAGAAGAGAGAGAGAGAGTGGTGAAGTAGAGACGATCGGAGGAGACAAATCTCGGTTGGGAGGAGGTAGGAGCGCGCTCTTCTCGCCGCGGATCGCTCCGTCGCCGGAGCACGAAGTCCTCCGATCGATCTCCATTGACGTTGTTCCGTCTCCCTTCCCTCGATCCTTTCCGTGTTTGGAAACCCTCGTTTTGGCTCCGTAAGGATCCACCACTTCCTCCGGCCATTTCTCTCGGGATCCGCCTTCTCCTTTCCGCGTAGGGTCTCGGCTTTTCTGCTGATCCGCCGCGCTGCTCCTGACCGTCTTTTTCCGGTGTCGAACTGAAGCGGAAGCGGCGGCAGCGGAAGGAGGAGGAGGAGATTCGGTTGGTATCTTTGTCGATCTCGCCGGAACCGGTGGAAGAGCGTTTTGTCCCGAAATCAGAGCTCGCCGGGGGTCGTTTTCCTGCCGTTTTCCAGCTGGTGTTGCAGGTTTGCTACGTAAAATTTCTCTTTCTAGCTTGGTATGGTGCTGAATGATGCCCTTGAGTTGCTCGAATCGAACTGATGGAGACCTTACGGGACGTGAATTTGACTCTTCATGGTATTTTTAGAAGGAGATCGTAAGCTTGGTTTTGAGGATAACTATAAGTTGAAGATTTCTGACTTTTTTTTCACATGGTCAGTTGATGCCTTGCAGAACATGTTGATGATAAGAATATATCTTTTTCCAGTTGTTTTATAGTGTGAAGTGGGAAGTTAGTACTCACAGGAGATTGTCGTTTTTATACATTATCGGGGGATGCTCTATTGTGAAGCGACGTGTTGACTTGGATAATCGTGGTATTAGGATAGCTATATGGCTCTGCGATGGCGGAATATGTCCGATTAGCTTTTCTTTCTTTATTGATTTCTTTTTTTGTTTTCGTGAATTCTTTTTGTGGATTCTCCACTCGGAGTAGGCAGAGCTTGATTAGATTTAATGGCAAATTGGGTTTCCAATGGGGTTCAAAGCCCTTTAAAAAGTCACCACTGGCATGTTATCTTATTTTGAGCTGCTTTAGGTCTCTGAGGGTTTCTTACGAATCTCCTTATCTTGCATCGAGATCTTCCGTCTCTATGTTCCTTTATGGCGTTGTCTTTCTTGGTTACTAAGCATCAGTTACGAGTTTGAGTTTGTTTTAGCTGATGTAGTATATGTATACGTTACAGTTCGCAATTTTTGATTGACTCGAGCGGGAGACAAGCTGATGCAGCCACGTTAGAATATAGTCTAGCATTCCTAATCTGTCGCCGAGCTGGAGCAAATGTCTTTCCGTGGCATAGTTCGTGACATAAGGGATGGGTTGGGAAGCTTATCCAGGCGAAGTTTTGAGTTGAGGTTGCCTGGCCACACAACAGGGAAATCTCATGGTTCTCAAGATTTCCATGATGAGCCTCAGGTGATACAAACGAGCAGATGGTCCAGCCTTCCTCCCGAGCTTTTACGCGATGTTATCAGGAGATTAGAGGCGAGTGAGACCACTTGGCCTGCTCGGAAACATGTTGTTGCCTGTGCTGCAGTTTGCAGATCATGGAGGGCAATGTGCAAGGAAATTGTTAGATGTCCTGAAATTTCTGGCAAGATTACTTTCCCTGTCTCACTGAAGCAGGTACTTTTCTTAAAGATTTCATTGTTGGGGTCACTCGTAACGCATCCGTCTGTTATACTTTCTGGTGGGAGAGTTGACGAAAGTTTCCCCACTTGTCTGGAACAGCCAGGACCTCGGGATGGAACTATTCAGTGTTTTATCAAAAGGGACAAATCTAAATTGACTTACCGCCTCTTCCTCTGCCTTAGCCCTGGTAAGTTTCCAGTTTAGTCACTAAAGATGTTGAAAATGAATTGCTTGTTGGCTTGTCTTGCGTCACTTGGGTATTCCAAAAGTGAACAGTTGCTTAGCTCTTTTTTTGAGTGTCATTTATGACAAAGGTTGTGGTGTGCGAAAATTAATGTAGACAGGTTTAATGAGCTGTACTTGGAAAGTTTAATCATTTAAATTGATTTCCTTGAATAGTCCTGGCTAGTTTCTTTTTATAAGCGAAGAAGACTAATTTGATTGAAATGGTACATAGGGGTTCCCGCTTCTACATTAAAAGTCCATAATCTTTGATATTTGGAAATTAATCTCCATCCCCTCCGACCCTGTTATGTTTGTACATTGGTTTATGAATGTATAGTTTCTTTTTTACTTGGTCAAAAAGGCAAAGCTGCTTGTTAAGACCACGTCTGGCTAAAAGTTGTGTTGTGTATCTATATTGTTTCAAACCATCTCCATTCGATTAATCCCATGCAAAGATACAATTTTTCTCGCCTTCTTAATTGTGTAGATATCATTTCTTATCGGTTTTCTTCTGAAAACCAAATGGGCGCTCTATCGGGAAAAAAATTGCCTTATGGACAAACTTGTTAAGTTACAGTGTTTTAGGAAGTCAAATCATGATCAGGGGAATTATTTGCAGAAAGTGTCTCATAAATGACCTTTCTTATCCTACCCATCCAAAGAAAAAGGGGAACCTTTCTTAGATCACCTTGCCTTACAACTGTAATGAAGTTAAATTTACAACCATTAGATGACCAGACTTCTACCTGATCTGAACGTATTCGCGAAAGCTTCTTATAAATGACCTTCCTTATCCACTCATCCAAATTAAAGAAAAACAAGAATTAGACTTGTCTTCTAGAACTTCGCTCCTAAACATTGAAACCAGAAACAGCTCTTCAGTTGTACTTGTCCTACCTGCACAAAGAGAGTGAATGAAAAGTTAAGTTCATGACAGAGAGATGCAAAAAACTCACTGTGGAAGCCAAACAACAGAATCAATAATCAATTTTTAACCCAATTTCTCTGTGACTTTGCTACATGGATCTTCTCATTCGATTCTGCTCAATTTTTGTATGAAGCCTCCATCTAGTTTGTTGGAAATGTTAGAAACAGTCTTTTGTGCATAAGCTTGTATGTGGGTGGCTTCTACCCCAAGCCGTTTTGTATAGGGGTGATACTCCCTTGTTACCTTCTTAATGAAATCTTAATTATCATTAAATAAAAAAAGATCCAAAAAATCGAGATCTCTCTTTACTGCCTTGTTTCACGGCTTTCAAGTCTTCCTTTGTTTCTTGTAGCCTTAATCTGCAATATAGAATTACATCTTTCATCTAAACATGCAAAGGTTGTCTTTCTATGTGTCCCATCACCTTGAACAAACTTCTTTCATCTTGTCCACAGTTGCAGCCATAATTCGTTTTCTGTGAATGTTGCTATTTGAATTCTTATTCCATATTTAATTTCAACTCATCGAACAAGGCATTCCTTTTATACTATACTTTCGTGGTGCCTGTGTTGCTCCTTTGTACTTAAGCTTAAGTTTCATTTTGCGATTGTTGAACACATCAGATGCATCTTTCCACTCCTCCATCTTGCATGTGTCTGGTTCTTGAGATTATGATTTATTTGTTCATCTTTTCAAGAGGTAGATCCAAGATAGCTTGATCACTCACTCCTTTGTACGTCCTGGTTCACTATTCTTATTACCAAGTCACCTGAACTTGAACTCCATATATTATGATTTGGATGGACTTAAATGGAGATTCCAAAGTTCAGAAATCAACCTTGAATGTACTCCTAAGATAATTTTGTCATTAAAACCTTCTTATTTGTGTACAGTGGAGGAAATCCACTTTGAAGAATCCTGTTGAGCCCATGCATTACTAGACTCAAGATAGTGGATTTACGCCCTTTAGCTATAAAACAGTCAATGCTGCTAAAGTACCCTTTGTTTGCCCCAGTGGGTTCTATTATTCTAAAGCTACGATTGCAGAAGTACCTGATGGTCCTGAATCACGTCCTATGACACTGATCATGTTCTTACTTATGCATTCTAGTTCATATTAAAAAATGTATAGATATTTAAGGAGAATTTTGAGGTTTTTTTTATATATATATTTTTTTATCTTTTGACCAATTTTTTCTTGAGGCCTTCATTCATTCAATAAAACTGCCAGGGGAAAACTGTTCCTTCGGTGAATGCAATCCTATCAACACAGGGAACCGGGATTTGCAATTTAATTCTAGAGTCTTTATCTAAATTTGAAGAGTGTGATACTCACTTTTGTTCTCATGTCTTCATGGGATCAAACTATCTTAGAATAGTTGTGCTGATGATTTATGGGTCTGGCCTTTATAAGAAGTAACCCATGTGTGTTGTTTGCTAGTTGTCACCTAAAGGCTTGTATTGATTGTTTTTGAGGCATCTTAGTCACTCTCTCATCTCACTTATCAAAAGATAATTGCCTCCTATTTGAATCAGTTGCCTGGTTCTAACTTTTACACACTGGGTGTAATGGTTGTTGATCCTATCGGAGCTATCTCTTTGCAGCTCTGCTGGTTGAGAATGGCAAGTTCCTTCTCTCTGCAAAACGGACAAGGAGAACTACTTGCACCGAGTATGTGATCTCCATGGATGCAGATAACGTATCAAGATCAAGTAACACCTACATTGGAAAATTGAGGTGAGAATAGCAGTTGGCGTTTTATCTTCTTCCCCATTTGGTTTAAGACAAAGATACTGAGTTTACATCCTTTAAAGATTTCTATCAAGGGAGAAGGAATATTGCTTGGCTCAAAAGCATGTTCCTTTCGGTGGTCATTAGGATTTGTTGGGGGATTTGTTGGGTTGGGACAACCCATCAATCATATCTTCTTTAGCCATGCCTCCGTAGTTAGTTAGTGACATATTTTATCAACTAATACCTCTTCAACACAAGCACTCCTATTATGAACTTTTAAGAGTATTTATAGCTGTAATGGTTGTGTTAATAATCAAGGATTTTCAAGAGAGAGGGAGAGAAAAGAGACTGGAGGTTACATCTTTATTCAATGGCTTGATTAAAGAGTAGATAAGATGACTTTGTTTATAGAGCATAAGAGATCCAAAGCCCTAATTACCTTAATTAATCTAATTATGTAATCAGTGCATTTGAAATGAAAATTTTTCCTTGTTAAGTATGATTAACAAGTGCTCTGGAAGGACTCGTTAACAAGACCATGTTAATAATAGTTCATGACTGGCATCTCTTTGTGCCATCAACTAATACTCTCCACGAAACATGCAGATCTGACGCATTAATTGGTGTATGATGTTATCCATTCGGTGCATTTGCTGTTGACCATGCAACATGTTAGCATAACCTGACTATTTCAATATGATGAAATAGATAGAGAGGAGGGAGAGGCTCTTAAGCTAGAAATAAGTAGGTCTTAGTAAAGACAACTGGTTAAAATTTGGCAAATGAAAGATTGCACACTACTCAATATGTTTTTCTTCCCTCTTGTTTCAGATCTAATTTTCTTGGCACCAAGTTCATCATCTATGATACACAGCCTCCATACAACAATGCTCAGCTTTCTCCACCTGGGCGGAGCCGCAGATTCTACTCTAAAAAAGTGTCACCTAAAGTCCCCACTGGCAGCTACAACATAGCTCAGGTCACATACGAGCTGAATGTGCTGGGCACGAGGGGTCCGCGGAGGATGCACTGCACAATGCACTCAATTCCTGCGTCAGCCGTTGAGGCAGGTGGCAGTGTCCCGGGTCAGCCTGAGATTCTTCCTCGCTCACTGGAAGATTCATTCCGGAGCATCTCTTTCTCAAGATCAATAGATAATTCAACCGAATTCAGCAGTTCCCGTTTTTCGGACATCATTGGCCCCCATGAAGAGGAAGACGAGGGAAAGGAAAGACCTTTGGTACTTCGAAATAAGGCGCCGAGGTGGCACGAGCAGTTGCAGTGTTGGTGCCTTAACTTCCGAGGAAGAGTGACCGTGGCCTCTGTAAAGAATTTTCAGTTGATAGCTGCAAACCACCAGGCAGCTGGAGCACCAACACCATCTCAGCCATCTCAGCCCTCTCAGCCGTCTCAGCCATCTCATTCCGATCATGACAAGATTATACTTCAGTTTGGTAAGGTCGGAAAGGATATGTTTACTATGGATTACCGGTATCCTTTATCCGCATTCCAAGCTTTCGCCATCTGTCTAACTAGCTTCGACACCAAATTGGCATGTGAATAAAATCGGTAGCTAATGAATAAGGTTATGAAGAAGGATGTCGAGTTTTAGAAAACGAGGGGAGGAGTTAGAGATATCTATTATGTGGGAGAAGGTTTTTTAGATAGAGTTTGTGTTGTCTATATAGAAGCAGGGTAGCTAGACCTTGGTACTGCAGAAGTTTGCATAAAGAGGGCTCGGAGTTCTCTCCCAATCGATCCCTCTTGCGAGTTGGCTTCTCCGGGGGGGTCTTCTTGTGTGTGTGTTTGTGCTTTTACTGTTATGTGGTGACTGTTTTCGTGTTTTGTGAAGGACAAATTGAACTCCTGACTTTCCAGAAATTGGGGAGATTTGTGACGGATGAAGCTGGTCTTTATGCCATCTTCCTTTTTATTCCCGTCTGTTCTTGTAAATAATCGGAGCCATTGGAAAATCTTATTGCTCCTCAAGTGAACTTTTATCCTTTGAACCGTGTAATTTCCTCTGGTGTAATTATTTTGAGTTGGATGCCTTCTCTCTATCACTCGTGCACGAAGTTGGTAAAATGGCATGTACGGTCTCTCCACACGAGGCATGCCATGGCTTAGGCAACGCGGCTCGAGCCATCAATCGAATTGAACTAATTCGAAAGTCACGACGCAAGTTCCAAATGATCATTTAAATAAACAAAGACACATTGAAATACACGATTCGAAATTTGTTCTCTTCCTTTGCAAACCAGCTTTGCAGAACTACCTTTCTGGCTCCTTTTTTCACGGGTGAATCGTCGGTCCATTTAATCGCGGCCATTTCACTCCATCCCAAATCGATAATGATGCGGTATCATCGATATAAACATAACCTAAGTTCGTTCTTCTTTTTTCTTCTTTTGTAGAGAATTGAAGATTGAAGAGTCAAAAAATGCATAAATTCTCATGGTGCAGTCCTCTCCAGCTCCACTTTCTTAATGTAATCAAAATAATTGAAAAGAGCACTCAAAAGATAAAAAGCATAAGGTCCCTTCAGCTGCTGGAAAAGTCCCCCCCGGTCACCACCCCCCCACTCAATCAAATTTTCTTCAGACGATAAGTTCCATACGATTAATTTAATCACCTCGTGGATGTTGACGCGATCTTCTTTTTTAACCCCAACCTTTTCCTTTTGTTGCAACAGAGAGGTGATGATCATTAGTTTTAGCTGGGGAGTGCAATTTTCTTATGGGTTCTTCCATAATGGATGATGGGTTATAGTACTTTTCTATTTATCAAGAGGGGTTTTCCAATACTAGTTCTTTAACTCACGCGTCACCTGTTTTATCGGTGATATGTTGATTGATCCACCGTGACATGTTAGGGCAAATTTACTGGTGTCACGAAAGTTCTTGAAATTAGGACTTTTCTTTAAAAGAGCGCATTAATGATACGATATACCGTATTAATGTGACGTCACTAAATAATTATACCTTTTTAATGATGTCTGATTGTTCGTGCAAAACACTACTTCGTTTAGTGATTAACTCTGACTTGGTGAATAAAGTTAATTATTATAGTGAAAGAAATAAGACAAAATATGATCAATTTTGAGCTTCCGGGTATGTCGAGACATGACCAATGAATTGTGATACATTTAACCTATTGCACATGACGATTTTAGACAAACATTTTAGTTATGTGAGTGGGGGATGGTGGCCCAGCATACCTACTTGCCACGGATATATTTACACATGTATATTTGTTAAATTTCGAACAAAAAGATATATATGGTACATATCCTAAATTTCGATATATTAGGATTTACGTATAGTAATTCCATCATATGCTAATTCTCGGAGTGCTCTAGATAAGTTGAGAAATAAAACGATAGTATACCTAAACAATTATCAATACTTCCTTACCGTACTTGCTACATGCATTCGAGATATAAGGAAAAGAAAAATTGAAGACGAAAACAAAAAAATAATATATAACAAAAGAAGCCTGTACAAAACGTCTTCTATATAAGTCAAATTGGCAGTCTTCATAATCATGATCTACACAGAGATAGGCAACAAAAAAAAAATTCCAGTGAATGATAAATATATAGATAACCTCCTAATCAAACAAACACATCCACAGAGGAGAGAAGAACAAGAAGGAGCATCACAGTACCTATACAAATTTCACTTTCTGTGATCCTCTGAGAGAAGAAGAAGAAGAAAGAAGGGAGATTTGGGTTGACAGAGTGTGAGAAGTGAGCACTAGAAACTCCAGGAGAAATGCTTGGTTCTCTTGCCTTGGTCATGGAGGCTTGAAGCTGAAGCATGAGTCTCCTTCTACATGAGCTGGCTGCAAATGATGCCCTCCTTCAAGCATGAAGACACAAGATGATGGTGATGATAAGCACTGAACTCAGCTCCCCCTCCCTCTCTCTCTCTCAAATGGGTGTGATGATAAGCACTGAACTCAACTCTCTCTCTCTCTCTCTCTCAAATGGGTGTCCACTCTCATAACACACCTGCACATGGAAAGGAGGAAGAAAAACACCTACTGGTTGAAAGTTGAAACCCATGTAGATTACTATATATCTGTCACACAATTATGAGAGAGAGAGAGAGAGAGAGAGAGAGAGAGAGAGAGTGGGGGGAGGGGGGAGGGAGAGGGAGGCAGAGAGAGGGAGATGCATCACCACTCAAATGAAATCAAATAAAGAAATGCAGAAGAACACAAAAGGATTTCCATTGTTAATTCAGCAATGACAAATGGGGAAGGGGGGAGTCAATGATCACATTCCCGAAATGGGTGCAATTTTCAGAGTGGTGTGGGGGATGCCATCGGTTATTACGTCAGATTGCATTGCTTTGATTCTTATTCCTTGCTTTGGACTGCCCTCACCAGCTTAACCCTCCCTCTGTCTGTCTGTCCCTCTCTCTCCCTAATCTTAAAGTTATTTTTTGTTTAGAAAAGAAGTGATTAATTATCATATCATGTAATAGGGAGACCAGCTTTTTTTTTCCCTTTCAAAGATTCTCTCGATTGCGCCTACGTGTTCATATCCTCTGTATTTGATATTCTAAACGTTTACACTGTGACGATGCGTCTGTTTCACTGGAAATGAATGATTTGAAAATTATTTTCCTAAGAATGATTGCTTATAAATGTTTAGACACAAATTGTCATTAATAATAAAAATATTTAGTCAAGCAATAGAAGCAATCATTTTTAGGAAAATGATTTCCAAATTATCCATTTTTCGCGAAATAAAGGGAACCCTAGAAAGCAATATACTCATATTCATTTTTAATTTGACAAAGTGCATGCCAGGCACTAAATCAGATCACAGGGACCATGTTCAACGTTGTGTGATTACCTCACGAACTTTTTCCTCTTTTTCTAAAGTATATTCTATCCTTTTAAAGGCAATGATATCTAAATATGTATATGTATCGACTATTCTTCATTGCGGCATCAATTCTGTGATAAAGTACGTTCGTGTTCTCTCTTTCTACATTGGAATCTCGCTAAGGCAAATTGTTCAAAATCTTTATGGTTTTTCATAAATCGATAGAACTAAAGTGCCATGAGATGGGTAAAGGATGGTGGAGCATGGGTGCGCCGTAATATCATGTAGTGAATATCAGTAACATAGAAGTTTACAGGACAAGAGAAGATGAGTATGGACAGAGGTTTGAATTAAGCAAAATGCGAAACTCGAAGCTTGCAAGTGTTCTTCTAAAAATCTCCAAGTTTCTTCAAGTATGACTGTTGATTGATTGCTTTATCCTCATAACATTGTCTGATCCAAGTAATGTAAATTGCTTCCCGTTTCGTGATGCCATGCATGATGGTGTTGGTGCTATAATCTGTCTAAAACACTCGAATGGCAACATCTTCCTCATAAATGATTTTGTCATGATCAACACATGTAGATAGTACCCAGTAGAAAGGAGATTTGTCAATATCATCGGAGAAAAATTAGATTACTACTTGATGATCTACTCGATTTTGCACGAGGAATTAGATTTTTTGTATTTTCGAGGATTGTGAGATCCGCTGAAATTGCGAAGCAATTATATCATGTACAGGTACCCCAACATGATCAAAATATATGCTCTTGGGGAGCTGCGCAGGTAGCAATGGCTACGGTTGGCCTTTAGTGTGACGACGAGTGTGGCGGCAATGGCCGGTGGGCGACGACGACCATGGCGGTGGACGAGCTGCTCCTAGGGAAAGGAGGAAGAAGAATTGGGAGAGAGGAAAAGAAAAAAGAAAAGAATGATAGAGACAAGAAAAGGTAAAAGATAAAAAGAAAAAGAAGACATGTATTAATCGTTATAAATCCAATATGCTAATCATTTTTCTTTCTAGAGGAGGTAAATTCGTACTCTCTTGACTAGGACACATCCCTACATTTAGGCAATATTGTAATTATGAAAATTCGTGAATAGTATCGAATGATTGATTTGACTTTGATATGAATAATTTATGGATTGGATTAAACAAATTGAAAGTTTGGGAATTAGATTGAATATTTAAAAATAGTTCAATGATCTAATTAAGACAATTAAACGTTTAAGTATAATATTGCACATTGAGTCAAAATTTGAGAACTATTTATATCATTTTCCTAATAATCAAACAGGGTTTATATGTTTAAGGGCTATTTATTCCTAATTTGTCTCGTTCGACACATAAAATAAAAGATATCACGATTCTCTCAATTGCGATCATATGATATCCCCGTCCTTAGAAAATACCCTCGATCACTGGACAAGATTTTCGAATAAAATTAAACACAAAATCATTAGCTTTTTAATAGCCCAAAAACAATTTCGTGAAATCCAACGTCAAATCAAAGCTTGCAGTGAAAGTTCCAAAGAAAATCGTTATTTACGAGGTTCTAGATTCCTTTACAAGTAATAGAAAAATCGTTAAAAGTGTCATTTCTTGATTCCATGGTCAGTAATGTACAACTATGTTCAAAAAGAATTTCTTTCAAAAGATAAGGGTGGGTTCCATTTTGGTGCTCTTTTGACAAAATGTACACTGAACGGACACAAAAGTCAGTCACCACCTATCATCGTGGAAGGAAAATTTCTGCAATCCTCTAGTCCATTTTGGCCCAATTCTCTTAAAAAGTAATAAATTCGGGCAGCGGGTCATTTCTGACCCGAATTACTTTTGTTTCATAAAATAATTTCAGGCGAGATTATAATTCCGAACATTTTTTTAATCTTGTACAAAGATGATAACTTTAGGTCGGGTTCCTATTCTGATCCGAACTTTTCTTATTTCATAAAAAATGTATAAACACTCGGTTGATGACAAATTTAGACCTTATCAAGTTTCCATTTAATGATGCTGTCAAAGATTCGATATGTCATTTCACGTAAGCATCTCTATCTCTCTCGTGTCATTTCACGTGATCTTTTACTTTTTTTCTTTGCTTTTTATCTTTCCCTTTTTTCCTTTCAATTTTATTCGTCCCCAATTTGATCCCAAAGAACTCCTTTGTCATGAAGA